AGATGTGTATATATATATATATATATATATATAATACAGAACAAAAATATTGTTTTAAATGATATAAATTAATTAATTGTAGACACAGAATAAAACCTATTCTATGTAGTATTGACTGTTATTATATATGTTTAGATATGGTATTGACAAGAACTCTAATGGCTGGGGAACCATAACATGCAAACCAAACAGCACTGTTGCTGGTAAGTTTAACTTAACATGAGATAATGAATATAATACATTGTTAGTTAGTTCTTCATTTATTACATTTCTATTGCCCTTTAGACCAAGTATTTAATTGGATTACATTTACTAAACTTGTTCATAATAAATAAACCTTTGCAAGCATAGGACTACTATGAGTACTACTAACTGAAGTTATGTTCTACACGTGTTTTCTGGCATTGAGATTATATAAGTACATAAATCAAAGCAAAATAAAAAGTCCTTTGATCAAAGTTAAGATTTTTAAAGATATATCGCCATAAGAATATTAACCAAAGACCTTCGAATTACAGTTTATATACCTAACCAACTAAGGCCATGTGGTATACATCCTTAGATTTTCCATTTAGTATAAGCTCTTTCTGACTATTGTGTAATACGCAACGAATACTATTACAACTCCGCTGGTGTTCACTGAAAATGATAATAAATTAAATAATGAAGAACTTTTGATTATCGTTCGTTTAAGGCATAGAGAAGAACTATCCCACACCCAGTTATTCCTATTGATATGGAAAGTATTGGTGATTCCTACTGGCATTTTTTCTTACTAGTGTTTTTTCATTAGTTACTTATATTTTACTATTAGGACACACAGTTTTTCTCTTAAGTATTGCACGATATACATTTAATTCATTAAATAACGCCGTTAATAATAAAAGTATACGGATATTCGAACTCAATACTTTCTAATTACCATTCCGATTCTTTACCAACTGAGCTATGAGGCAAATGTATACACCTAATTGTCACCATAGGACAAATATTTGGTCCGCGCTCAGCGCTGACCCAGAGCCTCACTGGTTGTTCTTGTTCTTCTACTGTTGTTCTTGTTGTTCTTATTACCAAAACTTTAAACATTTTAAAAGCGTCCAGCGTCGCCAGTTTTGAACGGACGTGCATGGAATTTTGTACATAACTAGAGGTAATTTCCAACAAACGTTCATCGCCCTTTTTTTAAGTTTGTCCCTAGGGTTCTCCCTACACCTACAAAACAAAATAAGGGTTTTAAAAGTTAAAGGCGTCCAGCGTCGCCAGTTTTGAACGGACGAGCATAACATTTTGTACACATAAACTAGAGGTTATTTCCAACAAACGTTCATTGCTCTGTTTTTAAGTTGGACCCCAGGGTTCCCTGCTACACTTTCAAAAGAAAAACAGGAGTTTCAAACTTTAACAGCGTCCAGGTCACCAGTTTTTGACCGGACGTGCATGAAATCTTGTACACATAAAGTAGAAGTGATTTCCAACAAACATTCATCGCCCTTTTCTAAGTTTGACCCCAGGGCTTCCCCTACACCTACAAAACAAAACATTGATTTTAAGCTTTAAAATCATCCAGCGTCGCCAATTTTAAACGGACGTGCTGGAAAATGTGTACATATAAGCTAGAGTTGATTTTCAACAAACGATCATCACCCTTTTTCTAAGTTGGACCACAAGGTTCCCTTACACCTACAAAACAATACAGGAGTTTCAGCAAGGACTGTACATTACTACCACTTATCACTACCATAATAGTGCACGTCTCATGAATTTGCCGGTCGGGATGTGTTCTAAAGAACTTAAGGTCCTGAGTTCGAATCACGTAGTTAGCAAGTTTGAGTTGCGTATTAATTTATTTGTTTTTTCATTTTGTCAAACAGTTCTCATCCATGCTCATTAAAAATAAAAATTATCAAAAGAAAATTATAAAAAGAAAATTAACAGAGGCGCGATTTGAACTCGCGACCTTCGGTTAAGGATGTGTTCCAAAGAACTGAAAATCATGAGTTTAAAAATCTGGTAAATCCATATTATATAATATCATATAATTGTTTGCCATGTGGTGAAACATCAGAAGCAGTTATCGGAATAATACAATGAGAAAATATCTATTAAAACGAAACAGAAGAAGAATCTGACAAGACTGAAAAACAAAAACATAATTTTTAAAATGTTTGTTGCATGTTGTCTAATAATGAAATAACTATTATTGATCGTTACGTTTTGTCGTAGATTCCAAAAATATTACGTTCCTGGTTTCATCTGAATATGGGCGCTCGTACACGGAACTAGGCGCTTACTCTGTCAGTTTTGGAGGAGAGCTTTACTTATTCCAAGTTCACGCCGGTAAGTGAAATACATGCATTAAAATGGTTTCCTAATAAAATAGTATTATATGTATCATTGTTTTATACGCTGGAATAGAGATACTTTCAAGCGAATACAATATTGACATTCTATTGAGAAACTAATGAAAAAATGTTACCTATTGTTAATTTTTCAATTAGTTTTATGCAAAACAAGTGTTACAAACATTTATTTTAAAAAGTGACTTTGTCTATGGTTTTGTTTAAGAATACAAAACCGTATTAATGTAAACACTGACTAATTTCCTTTTCACATATTTAAATTAGATTTAATTTAGGGCCACTAGTATACATTTTAGTTCTTTGCCTTGGTTTTCCCAAACACTCAACTATTTTATGTCAATATACATTGTAAACATTTGTATTGCTTTACTATCAGTATATCAATATATTTCAGAGATTAGGGAAGTAACCCCTGGATACGGCAGTATAAAGGGGGGTACATTGATAAAAATTAGAGGCGAGTATTTTGGGACTTCGGCTGAGAACGTTGATGTAGATGTTGGTGGTGTCGACTGTCAAATTTTCAATGTGCAAGACAATTTAATCGAGTGTATAACTGCAGCAAGGTCTAGTAATCGAACACTTTTTCCTGGCAACCGGGGCATATATCGAGAAGTATGGCGTGACACAAACGTCAATAAGTAAGGCAAATTCTCAGATTGTACGTTCACATTTTTTGCCATTGTTGTTATTATCATCATGAACAAACATTATTTTCATTATCTTCGTATTTATATGCTTGGGTTCATAAGTGACATATATAATGTAAGCTTTGAATAGGTCTGTATTAGATAGACTTTTATGTACATTGTTGATATTAGGGTTATGAATTATATTTGTTTAAACCTCACAACTATTATACGTGATCATATAATATGCTACATGTACCACCCCATATCAGTTAAGTAAACTCTGCTTATGATTAAGATCGCAAGGTTATGTCAGTATAGCCCCCTAGCAAGTTTTTCTACCTTTTAATTGCAATTGATAGATGGCTATTTTGAATAAGTATAGATTTTTCTACCAATTTTACTCACCATCTACATCATCAGTTTATTATATACAATAATACTTATAATTATAACAACAACAACTATTATTATTATTATTATTAATTATTATTATATTATTATTATTTTATTATATTATTATTATTATTATTATTATTACTGCTATTATTATTATTGTTGTTGTTGTTGCTGTTGTTGTTGTTGTTGTTGTTTGAATTTTTATTAAGCGCTCCTACGCATGGTCTCACATCACTATAGAAAATAATTAGAAATGTAAGTTTTTAGAGCAGTTTTGACTCTGTTTCAAGGTTGGAGAATGACGAACTTGACTAGGTAGTTCGTTCCATAGCGATCTGACACACACACACACACACACCTTCCTGGCAACATATCTCTCGAATTCCCCACTGTGGGTCCAAGTGCTTCGGCCCCTGGAAGATAAGGACATTTGACGAATTTTTGTAAATTTTATTAGTTACGGTATTTGATGGGTATCACGCTACGGAAATATGGCATATTGTCCAAACCAAATTCAAATTCGTGGTGTGTTTCACAATGAATTCCAAACACCATGAGGGTAGGCTTATCCATGAAGAAAAGTTGACACAGATATCTCAGTGAGGAAGATATGATAGAGGTAACGAGCGGCTTTTGTGGAATGTGGAATTGAACCAGGGACAAAATGAGCTCACGACTACGCGAATGCGCATGCCTGCCCCATAGTATGCCCTGTGTCGGTACATGAAGTATTTCATAGCACAGCCTTGATTTAGAAGTTTATTACGCGGTTGGTTTGAATAATGGCTTACAATAAAGGCTATCTAACCAGGCCAAGTCCCCCTGCCTTTGTTTTCTTACTATATCGCCATTGCTATAAAGTTATTTATGAAAAAACATAAAAGGTTTTAAATACAAATTTGCTGGCAAGTGTCACGAACATTTAGGTTCTATTTTTGAATTTAGGTTCCGGAAGATCTATATGGCACAGCTAGGATGGATTACGCCTAGCTTTTTGTCTAGTTAGGCACAGGTGTGCCTGACACTTCCACATGCTTGGATTAAACTTGGGAAGGTGATTTCAAAGTAATCATGCCGTGTTTGTCATATCTATGTTGTACGCTTCATGCACATTACTAATACTGAGATCTTTAAATGATATTATTCAAACCTAACTGATTGGTTAAAAATAATTTCATTATGAATTCTATACCGTACACTACAGAAAGCCAACTCCCTGAGATTATCTTGACGTCCTATCTTACTCTAGTTTCACGATACGTCGCGTAATCGTAGTACTAATCATTACATCGCCCTGTAGAAGAGTATTTTGTGAGGTCCATGTAGCTTGAGAGAGTCGCTTATCATTGTGAAGATAGCTTTTACTAGGTATCAGACAAATAACTTTTCGATGGAAGGCCAACTAGGTCACTTAAAATGTAAAATCTGCGTAATAATACTAACTGTCGATGTTTTCGTTATATTGTCGAATTAGAGAAAGCATAAAAACTTTTTTTTTCAAATGTTTAGCAAAAATCAAAGTGTCGTCTTATACAATTAATCGCTGAGCTAAAAGAATTCTAAAGTAATGTCGTTTATAGAATATAATTAATGAACATTGCAAAGTGAAAGATATACATGAACATTTGTGGTGATTTTAAATATGTAATGGGTATTTCTAAAATTCCTAATATACATGAGCCTGAATCATGTCAACATGAATTACGTAATCTGCTATGGACCTTTTTTAACAACACTACAATAATTGATTCTTGTAAGAATAATAAAATTTAAAAAAAACATACCGTACTTGCGACAATAAGCGCCCCTCGACGTTGAAACAATATCATGTGACATTTTTCTTAGCAATCCAATAATGCAATCAGTCCCGGGACTCTGGTTGGCATGATTTGATCTGTGGAGTGGATTCACATATTCTTATGTCAACTTCAAAATGAGGATATATTTTCTCTTGGACAGATCTATTCAACTTTCCTCTTCTTACATTTTCTAGTCCTTTTTCTATTTCTTTTCCCGACAATTTTCAACTTTTAGCACGTTTTAATTTTGTAAGAAACCCTGCAATGATCCTGATTATCTCAATCGCCAGAAACTTAACAAGCATATACACCACTACACCACCACTAATTTCATCTGCTGTTCAAACTGGAATTCATATATATATATATATACATATATATATATATATATATATATCATCAAAGGTACATATACAGTGTTTAAATAAGGACATGATGGAACATCGTAGGCTACCCTGTAGCTTTTCAACGAATAAAGTCCTATAAAAGTCATTGTGTAATAAAATGCCTCCGACGGAATTCGAACCTGCGAACTCTCGCTGA